CGTGCATGCTAGCACGGAATTGAATTGAGGATGCAAACGTTAAGCAACATTTATCCTAGCATACGTGCCGAAGTGCCACTTCGCTACCAGATTGATTGAGGATGGGCCTTTATACGTTCCGGTGAAAATGGTTATGTCACCGATGCAACCGGCTATCGCTGAAAGGTTTTTCGGTAACTGTCGGCTATCGAATTGTCACCGTTCCGTTTTTCCGGTTGGTTATTATTTTTTTGTTTAATTTATATGTTATATTATAATTTTCTGTATAATTTCTCATTTCTGACAATTTTTGTGCCTGTGAGTTTGAAAAATAGCAAAGTATAATGGAAGTCGAAAAGAGAATACGAAGAATGTAATGCCCAAGGTTCCTAAATATTAATTGCTTGTAATAGGTTGTTTGATAAGGGCAAACAGATGACGTCATCGGATGGTTCCTATGGAGATTTGCATTGTGCTTAAGCATACAGTCATAAAAGTTATCAGGCAACCTATCTCTTCCAAGCAACCTTGTCGGATGCCTAAATCACAAAGTTCCAAAGTCACTGCATGTCTTCAATTGAATCACTGTCAACCGAAGATCTACAGACCAGATATCCAGGGTTGGGAACGGAACACTCTCCAAAATGGATAGGTGATTTATGGCCGTTCGCAACGACCATTTTAAGGAAACATTAGCGATAAGTATTCCTTAAAATGACATTTCTACATGGATAAATGTCACTTTAAGGAATACTTATCGCTAAAGCTTACTACTCATAAGTGCGAAATTCGCATTTTTTTGAGATTGTTTCGACAATTTGACGTTTGATTCACGCATATAACGTCAAATTGTCGAAGCAAGTGCGATTTTCGGAGTTATGAGTACTAGGCTTAGAACAGGTAAAGGTAAAGAGGAGTAGTAACCTGGATTTGGAAAATGAAGCCGTTTTTTTTTCAGGTATTTTGGCACCAAGAAAATGGCGCTTATGGCAATTCAATGCTTTACCTGTATCTTGGTGCGAAACAACTGCCAAAAATTTGGCTTCACTTTAGTTTCATAAGCCGAATGGCGCGTTCCTACTCCTTATGTCCGTAGGAAAGGCTTTCCTGCTCTAAGGTACTAGGCTTAAGGCTTCCTCAAAATGGTCGGTGCAAACGGCCATTATACATTAGTCTGCGTTCCAAGTTCCATCTGCTACCAGTGCAGCCGGTTCGGATTGGCAGCTCCTATTACTTTTTCAACACTTTCAGCTCTTAAGTAGGGATGCCACCTTTGAAAGTAAGTTGAACCGGAGAAAAAAAAACATTATTGAAAGAAAGCTGAAAAAGAAAATCTGCAGATCTACAATGCAACAGATGCATTACACTTTACAATCTGTCTGTATCTATATACACAAGTCCCCCCCCCCCCAGCATCACTGGATGTTACTCGAGGAAACTTTGCTTGAGGTTGGGAGTTGAGACGGTTGGAGAAGAAGATTCAAGAATATTACACACTAAACAGGATAGCCTATCCTCATAAGACCTGTGTAGATCAAATCTCAAGCCCCCACCACGTCAAAGATCTAAAGAACCAGTGATGACGTAGGCAGCGTGTCGTTTCCCGCCTTGAAGCAGGATGTTTGCACCACAGACTATGATTCCGCAGGCTTTTGGCTTATGCATACATGGTTTTAGTACATTAATCAGCAATCTAAAACAACTCCTTTTTAGATCTGCTGCCGGATTCTATTTTACGAGTCGAGTCGTAATTCGTATCGAATTGTCAAAATAGCGATTTTATTCTACGATATCTCAATACTGTTACACGGTACGTCCGGAGCTGTCGTATTCGATATCGAGACAATCCGACTCGACTCGTAAAATAGAATCCGGGGGCTCGTTTATATCTTCCTCTTTGCATATTATGTTAATCAAATTTAAATGATTTCTCTTCATAAATGTATATTCTAAACTACGACCGCTGACGCAAACAGTTAACGACACCGTTGATGACGTCAGTAACGGTGCAACATCATGGTCTTGATTCCAAAAATCGAGTCCGATGCGCAGACTTGTAGTAGCATTTAATATCCTTGAGGGAGATTATGCAGCATTGAGTTCGTGGGCTGTCTATCACCAACGTGCGTGTCAGAGTCGGATAATTTCTCAATTTCTCCGAGAAAAACGGTATTTGCACAAACAGGATTGCGCTGTTGCTAAATCCTATTTTTTTTCTTAAATGCGTTTTTTTTTTGTTAAATGAGGTTTTACACGGAAAAAACACCCAGTAATCCGGAGCCTAGAGACCAAATGTAAAAACCCGTCGACTCCGGGTGAAACCCGGAGAGGTGGCAACCCTACTTAAGTCGTTCGGGTATTCGGGTAAAACCAGTTAGAGCAAATATTGACTCCGTATCGTTCGGGTGTGTTAGAGCAGCTTTTAAAGAGACCTTACAAACTCTGCTTTGAAAAATGCTGGTCGTGGTGCAGGCATGCGCAGTGCGATAAAAAACTGATCTGATAGTTCTTTTATCGTTATCTTTGAAAAACGAGTAAATCACTAGGAAAATTATTATAATTTCGTAAAATCTGGTAAAATTTAATTAACAGGAATGTATGTAAATTTTCAGAGCTGAGTACTAAAGTTAGCTAGTAGGATTTTGTCGGAAAATAACCGAATAAGTATGTAAATTTTGAGAAAACCTGATCCAACAGAGTTAGTATACTTCAGATTGGAAAAGAATTCAATTTTCTTTCATCCAATTTTCAACATTTTGAGGGGGCTGAGCTTCAAGTTACCTCCCCAGTAGGATTTTGTCGGAAAATGACCGAATATGGAAATTTTCAGAAAAACCTGATACAGCACAGTTCAGCACACTTCAGATTGGATAAGAATTCAATTTTGTTTAATCTTATTTCCAAAGTTTTTGGGCGGCTGAGTGTCTAGTTAGCCCCCCAGTAGGATTTTTGTCGGAAAATGACCGAATATGGAAATTTTGAGAAAAACCTGATACAGCACAGTTCAGCACACTTCAGATTGGATAAGAATTCAATTTTGTTTAATCTAATTTCCAAAATTTTGGGGGGGCTGAGCGTCAAGTTAGCCCCCCAGTAGGATTTTGTCGGAAAATGACTGAATATGGAAATTTTGAGATAAACCTGATACAGCACAGTTCAGCACACTTCAGATTGGATAAGAATTCAATTTTGTTTAATCTGATTTCCAAAATTTTGGGGGGGCTGAGCGTCAAGTTAGCCCCCCAGTAGGATTTTTGTCGGAAAATGACCGAATATGGAAATTTTGAGAAAAACCTGATACAGCACAGTTCAGCACACTTCAGATTGGATAAGAATTCAATTTTGTTTAATCTGATTTCCAAAATTTTGGGGGGGCTGAGCGTCAAGTTAGCCCCCCAGTAGGATTTTGTCGGAAAATGACTGAATATGGAAATTTTGAGAAAAACCTGATACAGCACAGTTCAGCACACTTCAGACTGGATAAGAATTCAATTTTGTTTAATCTGATTTCCAAAATTTTGGGGGGGCTGAGCGTCAAGTTAGCCCCCCAGTAGGATTTTTGTCGGAAAATGACCGAATATGGAAATTTTGAGAAAAACCTGATACAGCACAGTTTAGCACACTTCAGAATGGATAAGAATTCAATTTTGTTTAATCTGATTTCCAAAATTTTGGGGGGGCTGAGCGTCAAGTTAGCCCCCCAGTAGGATTTTTGTCGGAAAATGACCGAATATGGAAATTTTGAGAAAAACCTGATACAGCACAGTTCAGCACACTTCAGATTGGATAAGAATTCAATTTTGTTTAATCTGATTTCCAAAATTTTGGGGGGGCTGAGCGTCAAGTTAGCCCCCCAGTAGGATTTTTGTCGGAAAATGACCGAATATGGAAATTTTGAGAAAAACCTGATACAGCACAGTTCAGCACACTTCAGAATGGATAAGAATTCAATTTTGTTTAATCTGATTTCCAAAATTTTGGGGGGGCTGAGCGTCAAGTTAGCCCCCCAGTAGGATTTTTGTCGGAAAATGACCGAATATGGAAATTTTGAGAAAAACCTGATACAGCACAGTTCAGCACACTTCAGATTGGATAAGAATTCAATTTTGTTTAATCTGATTTCCAAAATTTTGGGGGGGCTGAGCGTCAAGTTAGCCCCCCAGTAGGATTTTTGTCGGAAAATGACCGAATATGGAAATTTTGAGAAAAACCTGATACAGCACAGTTCAGCACACTTCAGATTGGATAAGAATTCAATTTTGTTTAATCTGATTTCCAAAATTTTGGGGGGGCTGAGCGTCAAGTTAGCCCCCCAGTAGGATTTTTGTCGGAAAATGACCGAATATGGAAATTTTGAGAAAAACCTGATACAGCACAGTTCAGCACACTTCAGAATGGATAAGAATTCAATTTTGTTTAATCTGATTTCCAAAATTTTGGGGGGGCTGAGCGTCAAGTTAGCCCCCCAGTAGGATTTTTGTCGGAAAATGACCGAATATGGAAATTTTGAGAAAAACCTGATACAGCACAGTTCAGCACACTTCAGATTGGATAAGAATTCAATTTTGTTTAATCTGATTTCCAAAATTTTGGGGGGGCTGAGCGTCAAGTTAGCCCCCCATCTATTTTTTCCTATAACTTTGTTATCGAAACGGCACAGTTCAAAATATCACCGGCACAGTAGAGCACACTTCGAGCACAGTCAGTGGTTGCAATTTTTTTAGAAAATTCGAATGTGGGGGGGCTAACTTGACGCAGCCGATATTAACTCGCGATTCAACTTCATAAATCAGTTTCTTATACTAACTAGTCAACTATAAACATGTGACAAGTGGTTTCTATTGTCAATTATTATTTTTTTGTTCAATACACTGAATTCACAGTACACGCGCACATCACCAAACACGACGTTTTCTGCGTTTTCCCGAACTCCGAAATCGACAATCGAATTCTGCGCATCAATTGACCGTTTGAGGAGACAGACTGAATACACGCAGGCGACTCGTGGCCAAGTACGGAGACAAAAACAAGATCGGCACTGGTGGGGAAATGAGCGCTGCATTCTATTGGTCCGTACAATTAACTAAGAAATACTAGTTGTGAAAACTAGGTTGCTGCAACTGGTTTTTTAGTATTAATAGGTACATATTTTGGTTATTTTTTTATTTAACCAGCTAAATTAGTAATCACAACATGTTGTAACAACCAAAATTATAGTTAGCTATGTTTTAACAACAATTTTTAGTACTAAGAACTGATTATGTCAGTTAAGATGATTTCCAAGGTACAACTAATTTGAAATGGCTTCAATAACAAAAACAGAGTGGTCATAATAACTATTTTTCTAGTAATGACTACTATAAAAATTCAACCCACGTGCTTAGTTAACGTGTTTTTCTCAGTGTATCACGCTCGAGAAGCGGCAAGTGCGCGGAAATGTCGGTGTATGTTGGTCTTGAAACGGTTCAGGTTGTAACCTGCAGGGAAAACCGTCGCAGGGAGTTTATTCCACAGCGATGCTGTTCTCCAGAGATATGAATTCTGATATAATAAGGTTCTTGGTGCCTCTAGTTTGACAGTAAATTCATGGTTACCATCTGTTTGACGGGTTCGCCTGGTAGGTGCTACTCTCGGTGGAATCATACGTGCCAACTCTTCAGAGCATTTTCCGTGATAGTACCTGTAGAAGAGAGATAAATCGCCCACCGTTCTGCGATGTTTGAGACCATCCAAGTTACGAGTAAGTGCGGGGTCATTGATCAGCTTGATAGCTCGTTTTTGCACGGTATTCAAAAGCATTAAGGTATGTTTGGGTGCTGCACTCCATATATGTGAGCAGTACTCCATAGTTGGTCGAATCTGGGCTTTGTAGAGTGTCAGCAATTGGCTTGGTGTGTACAGATGTCTTGTACGAAATAGCACCCCCAGCTTTTGGGAGGCCCTTTTAGCAATATCTGCCACGTGACTGTGCCAAGACATGTTTGTCTCTGCAGTAACCCCCAAGATGTTCAACTGACTCTGTAATGTGACAGCACTTCCAGATAGCATGATGTTTGGCTCACCGGTGCTGGTCTTTTTTGAAAACAGAGCTGCTTGGGTTTTCTGCGCGTTGAACTGTACAAGGTTTTTGTTACCCCAGTCCTCTATTATCTCCAGGTCGTTATTTATCTGCGATATTTGAGTTAGTCTAAGATGATGGAATTCACGTGCGGAAAGACCTGTCGGTGGTATGAGTGAGGAGACTACATTGCCATCGTCTGCAAAGCAATAAAGTGGATTTACTGTTTTATCTATGAGGTCATTTATGTAAATCAGAAAAAGAGTTGGCGAAAGGATTGCTCCCTGTGGCACACCAGCATTTATTTGGTAAGAGTTGGAGTTCTGGCCATCCAGTGCAACATAAATGGATCTGTCCTTTAGGTAACTTTCAAACCAAGTGCAAAGTTTCGGCGATAATCCCATTGCTTTGAGCTTGTTGAGCAGATTTTCATGCCAAACTTTGTCGAATGCTTTAGATATATCTAAGGCAATTGTTCTTGTTTCACCCCGCAACTCAATCGCTTTTTGCCATAAGTGAGTGACGTATGTAAGTAAATCGCCAGTTGACCTATATTTTCGAAATCCGTATTGCTTATCGTTGATAATTTTGTACTTTTCCAAGTACTTGGTTAGGTGATTGTTCACAACTCTTTCCATTACTTTTGATATCACCGGAAGTAGAGCAATTGGTCTATAGTTTAACGGATCTGTCTTTTTTCCTTTCTTTGGAATGGGTTGTACTGCGGCAGACTTCCATGATGATGGATATACTCCTTGCCTGTAAGACAAATTGAATAATTTTGCGAAAGTTGGGGTGAGTTCGTTGGCGCAATTTTTGAGTACTATTGCGGGAATGCCATCCGGACCCATTGCTTTGTTTGTATCCAGCTTTTTTAGGGATTTTCGTATTTCTCTGTGATAAAAGGGTACCTCTGGCATACTATGGGAAACCCTTTCAATGAACGGTGGAGTTTTTCCGTTTGGCACTGTTAGGTTGGAGTTGGAGGAAAACATTTGGGCAAGCATATTGGCTTTTTCCTCTGATGTTGTGGCTAAGTGATTATTTTTATCTGTAAGTGGTGGTATGGATGACTTGGTGAAGTTAGATCCAACAGGTTTTGCAAGAGACCAAAAAGACCTAGAACTACTTGGACAATTCAGCAACCTGTTTTTTATTCTTTGATTGTATGTTTCTTTAGCGGAGTCAATAGTAATTTTGCAACTATTTCTGGCTTCTATAAATTCTGTGTGGTTTTGAGCGGTTTGCTGTCGTTTCCAAAGGTTATATGCTCTGTGTTTTTTCTGTACAGCCGTTTGACACTGGCTGTTGAACCAAGGTTTTGCATTAGCTCTACGTTTAGTTGTATGTGGGGAGTTAGTGATTATATGTTGGTCTTCCAAGAAATCCATGAAAAGGTCGGCCAAGAAAGGTGACAAGCAACTTCCCATGGCGAGCCCATCAGGTTGTTGATACACGGTGTTATTAAAAGAAAAATAATTTTGCAAAAGGCAATGATTCAGAAGTGAAAGTACATTGATAACAGTAGCTTCTGTTACATTTTTTGATCTTAAGAGGTTACCCACGATATCGACAGCTTCGTTCTTTGGGACGGTTGTGAAGAGATTGGTAACATCGAAGGAAACTACTAAAAAATTTTCGGGTAGATTTAAGTTGGACAATTTATTAATTAAATCGATTGAATTACTTACCCCAAACTCAGGTGAAAATGAAGATAGATTTTTAATCAAGTTAAGAATGAATGAAGAGAAAATAGCTACTGGTGTGTTGGAAAAGCTTACCACTGGCCTTATTGGAGTATCAACCTTGTGGATTTTTGGAAGTCCATACATTCTTGGTAAATTTGGATTACTTGACATGAGTGTCTTAGGAGCATTGTGTTCTAGAAAAAATTCACTGAAATGTTTTATAAGTTTGTTAGTTTTTTTAATAAAAGTATTATGTGGATTCGACTGTAAAATCTTGAAATTATTATTCTGAAGGAAAGTTACTGCTTTGGAAATGTAATCTTGTTTGTTGGGAACCACAAGGCAATTTCCCTTGTCTGCCTTTGTTACAATCAGGTCCTTATTTTTGATTTTAGTTTTGAGTTTTTTGAGCGTTTTTAAAGAATGTGAGGATATGGAGGAGTTGGTTTTCTCCAGATCTTTTTTAAGAGTGTATAAAATATTGTGCATGTCATTACGTAATGATTTTTTGATGTTGTAATTATAAGTTATTTGTTCAATAATGACATCTAGTTCTATGGCGTACTTAAGAACGTCACTCTCAGAAAGGGGTGTATGTAAACAGTATTTTAAGCCCAAGTTGAGGAAGGCCAGCTCGTCATCCTCAAAAACAGTGTCTGAGATGTTCTTGACTCTCTCGTGAAACTCGAAGAACATCTCAGACACTGTTTTTGAGGATGACGAGCTCGCCCTCCTCAACTTGGGCTTAAAATACTGTTTACATACACCCCTTTCTGAGAGTGACGTTCTTAAGTACGCCATAGAACTAGATGTCATTATTGAACAAATAACTTATAATTACAACATCAAAAAATCATTACGTAATGACATGCACAATATTTTATACACTCTTAAAAAAGATCTGGAGAAAACCAACTCCTCCATATCCTCACATTCTTTAAAAACGCTCAAAAAACTCAAAACTAAAATCAAAAATAAGGACCTGATTGTAACAAAGGCAGACAAGGGAAATTGCCTTGTGGTTCTCAACAAACAAGATTACATTTCCAAAGCAGTAACTTTCCTTCAGAATAATAATTTCAAGATTTTACAGTCGAATCCACATAATACTTTTATTAAAAAAACTAACAAACTTATAAAACATTTCAGTGAATTTTTTCTAGAACACAATGCTCCTAAGACACTCATGTCAAGTAATCCAAATTTACCAAGAATATATGGACTTCCAAAAATCCACAAGGTTGATACTCCAATAAGGCCAGTGGTAAGCTTTTCCAACACACCAGTAGCTAGCTATTCTCTCTTCATTCATTCTTAACTTGATTAAAAATCTATCTTCATTTTCACCTAAGTTTGGGGTAAGTAATTCAATCGATTTAATTAATAAATTGTCCAACTTAAATCTACCCGAAAATTTTTTCGTAGTTTCCTTCGATGTTACCAATCTCTTCACAACCGTCCCAAAGAACGAATCTGTCGATATCGTGGGTAACCTCTTAAGAGCAAAAAATGTAACAGAAGCTACTGTTATCAATGTACTTTCACTTCTGAATCATTGCCTTTTGCAAAATTATTTCTCTTTTAATAACACCGTGTATCAACAACCTGATGGGCTCGCCATGGGAAGTTGCTTGTCACCTTTCTTGGCCGACCTTTTCATGGATTTCTTGGAAGACCAACATATAATCACTAACTCCAATAAAGAGATTCTACACTGGTTTAGATATGTTGATGACTGTCTTTGTTTTCTGGATGGCAACCACAATCATGCTGATCTTCTCCTTCAAAAATTGAATGCAATACACCCTAAGATCTCTTTCACTCTCGAGATTGAACACAATAACTCAATCAACTTCTTAGACATCACAATTCACAAAAAACTTTTCAATCAACTCAAATTTTCAATTTTTAGAAAACCGACACAAACTGATCACAATCCCTGAAAGTTCTAACCACCCCCGACAACATAAACTGGCAGCTTTCCATTGCTACATCAACAGATTACTTAACATACCCCTCTCAAAAGAAGACTATTCTAACGAAGTTAAAATTCTCAAACAACTAGCATATAACAACGAATACGACCCACACCTAATTGACACCCTCATAACAAAAACCAAATATAAAAGATTGAAAAAAGAGTTGTTTCCTACCCTGAATAAGCCAATAGAGAAATATATTGCTATTCCATTCTTGAATCATGATTTGAATCTCAAAATTATACAGGTCATTCACCAAAATGTCAATAACAACATCAAAATCTCTTTCAAATCCAAAAATAACCTGTCTTCCTTTCTGGTTAACTCCAAAGACAAAATCGACCACCTGTCCAAGAGTGGAATATATAAACTAAACTGCAACTCCTGCAATTGCACGTACATTGGGCGAACTTGCA